CATTCCATAAGGACAAATATCATGTAAGACCACTACTGTAGAAAGAGTCTGAGGATCCAAGGTGGGGAACAGAGGGGTGAGGATGGGGGCGGAGCGGGGAGGTTAATTATAGGGTCACACAATTTGATGGGTAGGGATGAAGGAAATGGGAAAGATCTGGTATGAAAAACAAAGCATACAAACTTTGTAAATAACATACTTGTCACTTGTTATGCATCAGAGAGCTAGACAATGACTAGGGAGGATAGAAGGAGAATTGATGCCTTTGAACTGTGGTGCTGGAGAAGAGTATTTAATGTACCATGGACTGCCAAGAAAACAAACAGATTCATCCCAGAGAGGGTTAAACCAGGCTACTCCTTGGAGGCAAAGATTCTAGGGCTTCGTCTGACATACTTTGGACATGTTGCAAGGAGAGACAGGTCTTTGGAGAAGGACATCATGCTGGGTAGAGTAGAGGGACAGTTCAGGAGGGGAAGACCCTCTATGAGGTGGATTGATTCAGTGACTGGGGTAATCGGGATGGGTGTGTCAGAGGCGATGCAATTGGCACAGGACAGAGCAGGGTTTAGGGCTGTTGTACATAGGGTCGCTATGAGTCGCAAACGACTCGACGGCACATAACAACAACAACAACATATTTGAGAACCAGTAGGTTAACCTTTATATCTCAGTGCTCTTATAAGAGTTCATGTCAAAGAACAAGTATGGCTATTCAATAGATAGGAGACAACAGTCTCAGAATTTACTAGAGTGAAAACTCAAGGAAGCTTCAGTGTAAGTCATACAGTTTAGATTTTTAATGGACCAGAATCATGAAGAAGAAAGCTTACATTTCTAATCATATAATAGAAAGTTATCAGCAATTACTTTTACAATCTGAATTCCATATATCCTTGTTTCTCTATTGCCCTTTACTAGACAGTATTTGTTCGTTTGGTGTTGTTGGGTGCCACTGAATTGAGTTTCACCTATAGTGACCCTATAACAATAGACCTGGCCATTGTTTTTATCCTGTGCCATTCTAATCATCTCTGACACATTTGAGTTCATTACTGCAGTCACTCTGTCTATCCACCTCATTGAGGGTCTTATCTTTTACTGACCCTCTATCTTTCCAAAAATGATGTCCCTTTCTAAGAAATAGCCTCTCTTAACAAGATGTCCAAAGTATAAGAGACAAAGCTTTACCATCTTTGCTCCCAAAAAGCACTCCAGCTGCTTTTTTACTTTTCAAGATGTATCTTTTATTCTTTTGCAAGTCCATGGAATATTCAATTTTATTCTCCAACACCACAACTCAAAGGAATCAGTTCTTCTATTATCTTTACTCACTGTTCAGTCTCAGATGTGTACCAAGTGGTTGAAAATACCATGGTATGAATCACATAATCACTGAATCACTTCAGTATTCAGACTGACCTCATAGCTATTCAGTGTTTTGGAGAGATCCTTGACAGCAGTCTTCCCCAGGGCAATATATCTGTTGATCTCCTAACTGCTAGTACCAAGCATGCTGATTGTTGGTGAATGTAAGATGAAGTAATTGACAGCGTCAATCCTTTCTGCATCTGCCATGATGTTGTCTATTGGTCTGTTCACATAGCAACTTAAACAATATGACTTTTGAAATCCCACAAGACCAACTATCTAAGAATGCACTTGCTCATCTGCCAACCTGTGAAAGACACTAAGAGTTGTTCATCTTCTTTATACAACATTTATGTTCAAGTAATTTTTTGGGGGGAAAGAAAATAATCATAATTTGTGAAGTGAAGATTTCACATAGTAGACCAGCCAGCTATCCTTTGAAAGTTCAGTTTAAAGTGTTGGCTGTGGTATGTGTCATAGATTTAATTGTATCCCGCAAAAATATATGTATATGTTGCAATCTGCAACCCTTTTCCCTTGTAGAAATGAACATAAATAGATAGACACACACAGAAGACAAGACAGGACTGCAGCAAAGAAACACACACTCACACACACAGGACAAGAACTGCAAACCTTCAGGCCCGGCTCATTTCTAATTTTATCATCATCTAAAAACAGTCTACATGCAGACACTCATGATTTGGGGAAAATTTATTTACCAGAAACTAGACTTGCTTAGCACAGAATGTTCTCACAGAATCTGTTTTGCTTCCATATCTCTGTTTACCAGAAGCAATAAGACTATGCCTTGGAAAAAGGAATATTCTCCGACCTCATGTGCAAGTGTCCAAGGTCCCCATCTGTCTGCAGACTCAAGGACACATTCCTCTCCCACTCCCCATTCAGAGTGAGGAAGGCCAAATAGATATCTGTGTGCAGACTGTTTCTTTATTAACCCTTTTTGGCTCCTTCAGTATGTAATGTGGGAGTTTTAGAATTATCTTTCATGATCTGGCACTCGAGTGATCTAGTGGTAAGGAGTTATGCTCTCAACTCAAAGGCAAGTGGTAAGAATTTACCAACTGCTTCATAGGAGAAAGATGGAAAATCTCCTCCTAAGCAATTAACAGTCGCTGAAAATGTGTTACAGGGTCAGCTCTGAGTCTACTGCAACTCCACAGCACATGACAACAACATAATCTCAAAACCCAACTAATTGTTAAAGGATTAGGGTTGAGACATGACATCCCTTTATCCTATCACAGCCCAGATTTGATATAAAGGCAGTTTCCCAGGGAGGTGGCTGATAGCATCATTTCTTTCATGGGACATAAAAGAAGAGAAAACACGAAAAGAGATGAAAATACTTCAGAACCACTAAAAACAATCATCAGGAGTAACTACATTCTTTTGAGCTAGTAAGCTACTTGAGACCAAAAAGACCAAGATATATGGGTATCTCAAAGAACAATGCGTGTACATACGGATGCTAAAGAAAACAAGAACCTTCCTCCAGAAAACAAATAAAGAGAGAAGGCTTTCCACTAGTTCTGGAACCCTAAACTTGGCCTCCTAAACCATAAGATAATAAATTTCTGTTTGTTAAAGCTACCCACATCTGATATCTCAGTTATAAGAGCACTAGACGATTAAGACAAGAAGTGTGTGCGAACCTGAATTTTGATAGAGCCCCTACCATTAACAGAAAACAAACAAAAAATGTTCAATATGCTGCCTTCCTACTAATAAAATCAAAGAGGGTTATAGCCCCCCCCGTGAGAGTTTGAATTTGGGGGTATGTGCTAAACACACTGAATATGCACACTGAAAAATATGAGCAATTTCATCTGTTCCCTGATTGTCAACACTTTCACAGGGTGTTGCTCAGGGAATCTAGTGTATCTTTTAGGACTCCATTAGGAAAGAGCTCTTGGAAGCGTATGTCTGCTCCCCCAGGGTCCACCCTGTGTGTCTTTTCCCTTAGCAGATTGTGCCCGTTGTCTTTTGCTTTAAGAAAAAATAGCTCTGAATTTGCCTCTGCTGACTTCTCTCAGTGAACATCAGTCCTTAGCATGGTCTTGTAGATTCCCAACACACAGTTTCACTGTGATTAATGTTTGCTTACACTATTTAACTTGGACACTAAAGGACATAGAATGAAAACACTTTCTGTTCAGAATTTAAACATCATTAAAATTTGAGTAATCAAGTTCATTAAGAAAATTATGCTATCACTTATGACAGACTGCTTTGCACATTCCAATATGAATTCACTACAGCAGATGAAAAATTCCATTCCTTGTATTTTCTTTTTTGTCTACTCCAACAAAAATGTATACTTATACTTTATGAGCACATATTAACACTATTTTATTTTTTTGAAAAACAATTAAATAGGACCAACTATATCTACCATTTTTTAAAAATCACCATTCCTTGTATTCTCAACACTGACTTTTTTTAGAGTAATATGGACTCATAAACTTTAATTTTTTATGCTATTTTATCTCATTATAAGTTGAAAATAGTCACTGTCATCAAGTCCATTTCATTAGGTTTCCAAGGCTGTATGTCTTAAGGAAGGAGACTTTCCATCTTTCCCCCTTGGAGTCACTGGTGGGTTTGAACTATGGATAGTTGAATTAACAAACCAATACTTAATACACCATCAAGGCTCTTTTTGCTTTATTATAATTTCTACTTTATTGTAATAATTGTATTTTGTGTTTTCAAAGCTATAAAGTCTCAATTTGATTGGAAGATGTCTCTTTAAGAGGATCCTTGAGAATTCTAGCTATTCATACAGGTCAAGTCAAGGGATTCTTGACCACTTTTTCCTTAACTCATCGAGCTAAGCATATTGATGAGACATGGCTTGGGAGCCTAGTTTGCACTGCGGTACTTCACCAGTGCTGTTGGGATTCGGTGCAAACGCTACTGAGAAAAAAATTAATATGTCAAAACAATTTTGTTAAGGAAACAAATTACAGAGAGTCATCTAACTATCAGACACAGAAAATTACATTAATTCACCATATTAGTTTCTATACCTAGAAATAACTACATAGGTAGTATACTCCCTATACCAATCTCAAAAATCTCCCTCTACTAAAGAGAATGGAATACTTATTTATGTAGACAGAAGAGAGCTTCTTTAGAATTTTAATTTTTCAGTCTGTTTCAAATCCAATGTTTTGGTTGTCGTTAATGAGTGGAATTCAATCAAATTACTTGCATTTTATTTTAAAATTTTACATCCTAAAAGGCCCTGATTTTCCAATCATAAAACCATTCTGTGTTGGCTCAAAAGTAGAAAACTTATTTAATTTTAATTAGAAATTTCCTTAATCATTAAGGCATGATGTCTCATATATAAGACTAGTAATCAAAATGTCAGCTGTTGAAAGACAACAATCCTTCTACTGAAAAAAAAAGTCTCTTTTCTTCAAGATTTACAGTCTTAGAAACACAATAGAGGGTCCCATGATTCAGAATAAACTTCTTGGCAATGGATTTAACTTTGGGGTTTCTTTGACCATGATTAAGTATAATGTCAATATTGCCTGTGATGCAGATAATTGATCAAAAATTGTTTTTCCATCTCCTTAGAAAGATAGAAGCTTGATTTATTTGAAGAGTTTTTTCAGAGCCTCTTTCACATCCTTATTCCTCAGGCTGTAGATCATGGGATTCAACATAGGGAAGACCACAGTGTAAAAAGTGGAAACGATTTTGTCTCCACTCATGGAATAGCTAGACCTGGGGTGAAAGTAGATGTAGAGAATAGAGCCATAGTATAAGGTGACAGAGATCAGGTGGGAGGAGCAGGTGGAGAAGGCTTTGAGGCGGTCCTGGGTGGAGCGGATCCTCAGGATGGTGGCGATGATGAAGAGGTAAGAGGTGAGGACGAATACAACAGGGGTAATGACGTTGGAGGCCAGGAGGTAATAAAGGATAATCTGATAGCCGTCTCTTCTGCCACAAGCCAGCTTCACCAGGGGAAATAAATCACAGAAAAAGTCATCAATAACATTATCATGACAGAAGTTCAAGGAAAAAGTTCTTTTGGTGATGACAGAGAGGTTAAGAAATCCACCAAGATAGGAGGCTGCAACCAAAAATGTACATAACCGTATGGACATAGTCTGAGAATAGAGGAGAGGTTTTGAAATGGCCATGTAGCGGTCATAAGCCATGGCAGCCAACAGGTAGCACTCACTGTAGGCCAGGCCACCGGAGAAGAAGAACTGAGCTGCACAACCAGCAAAGGAGATGCTTTTATCCTCAGAGATGCAGGTCACTATGATCTTCGGGGTGTACACAGAGGAATACCAGAAGTCCAGGAAGGACAGATTGCCAATGAAGAAATACATGGGTGTGTGAAGCCGGGAGTCATTACATATTAGCACTATGAGTGTGACATTTCCCACCACAGTCACAGAGTACACGCCGAGGAAGACCACAAACAGGACCAGCTGCATCACAGGGTCTGTTGTGAAGCCCAACAGGATGAACTCAGTCACGGTGTGATTACTCACCTCCATGGCTATAATCTCACCTAAGAGGAGAAAAATGTTAGTTTCACTTGAATTTCTTTATTGGGTAAGCAGAAAAGATGATATATGTTTTATTTCACATCAACAGGAAAACCAGAAGTCTAAGATCCTACTAATGACTATTTCAGAAGGATTGCTTTGCAGTTTGTAACAATCACTCATTTTACAGTGAAGTATTCAATTTCTCATTTTTAAAAGCCATTTATTTCTTTTTCCACATAACGAATGACTGCTGAATTGATGAAAAAAATTTTAATTGCTATTTTTTGTGCAATTGTTTATAATTGCATGGTTTTGTAACTTAGAGTTTAACTTGCTTACATCTGAATAAGTTTTAAAACAAATATTTAAAATGTTTTTAAATTATACACACTATATCCTCATAAACAAAGATGGAAAAATTCTCAACAAAATTATAGCAAAATATATATA